CGATCGGAAAAACAGAAAGGCAAAGACACTTCAAAACCCTAAGGCCCTATTTGGTTCACTGAACATATTTGAGGGGAAATTTCCCAAGAAATGGGAAATGGAAAATTCATTTCCCACGTTTGGTAATGCTAGGAAAGTAACGGAAAGATATCACTTTATGTCATTTTCATGTTTGTTTTAAATAGGAATGGATTTAATGATATATTATAATTCTATATTACTAATAGGGACAAAATGGTCATGAAAAATGTTTATTTAATATTGGCTCATTTTTCCAAACTTTCCCATGAGGAGGGAAAACAAAACCCAAGTTGGAAGGATGGCTTCACTTTCCCCTCTACTTTCCCATGAGCCAGGCAACGATTTCCCATGCATGCAGTGGCGGATCCAAGAATTTTTCAGGGGAGGTGCAATATTTAAAAGGCTAAAAATTCGCAAAGGGCTCAAGCAAGGTTATAGGTTCAAGTCCTAATATCCGTGTAGTGTGTAAAAAAAAGACTAAAAATTAAAAAAAAAAAATTTATACAACCAAATGCCCTTAGAATTTAAATAATACTAATGGCACTCATAATTAAAACAAATAAGAGTTTTACGTCTACAACTAACTAATTATAGTCTATATGGATATCAATTAATATGAACAAAATCCTTGTCATTGACACTATTAGTTTACCAAAATTCATATCAAATATGAACAGTCAATTACATAATTAATTAATCTAACAAAAATTTACCAATTAATCTAACCAAAAGCATATGTAAATTGGAGGTCATGAAATAAAAGTACGCGTAATTAAAAGTTTGGGGTAATTTTCGGTGAATTTTTTGGCACACATATGAGTTTTTAATGAATTTTTTTAAGTTAGGCCAATTAGAAATAGACATGTGTCGGCTTGCTATTGGATGATTTAAAAAAGAATCAAAATCAGAAGCGCTGACGCGGAGGAGTCTTCTTCTTCCTTGAACTGCCTCTGCAACTTAACTTCAAATATTCTAGAAAAATTTCGAAAATTCAAAACTTTGGCTGTAGAGCTCCGATTGATGAACCGTTTTCTCCTACATGCTCGTGAGATCGAGCCCAACAATATAAGGTAAATATTCAGGGTCTCACACAGCAGCAAACAATACAACGTCTTTTAGGCATTTAGTCGAATAATTGGTGGGCACTAGCAAAGGGGCAAATTCCGGCATCCCCAAGGAAGTTTCCGGCGAGGGGAGGTGCAGCTGCACCTCCTTGCGTCTCTGTGGATCCGCCAGTGCATGCATGGACTTACCAAATATGGGAAATCAATTGATTTCCCATCCCCAAGTCTCCTTTCCCATGAACCAAACGGGGTCTAAGTAGCAAAATTCCAAGCACTTTGAAGAAACATCCTTGCATATGAAACGTGCATGCATACTCTAACAATCTCCAGATTTCAAAATCTTAAAAGTTGTTGGAAAATACATGTAATCAATGCATAAAAAGCTTACACCCTTATCGCGCCACGTGCAACTCCAAACAGCCACAGATGTACATATGTGCAGCTCAACCATGCACTTTGCAACCTAGCAAAGAAGTCGGGATTGTGATTTGAATGTTTCGTACACTTGGGGCATCTTGCAAACCAGAACTCTAATATCATATTAGACAATCATCATATCCAAAAAATCTTCGACTGTTAAAGAAATTCGAAAAAGAATAATAACTGAGTACATGAGCGATGTTATTGTGGAAAGAAAGTTGTATACTTTGTGGTATACAATAAGTTTTCACTGCTAGTCTTTTGATGTTTTTGTGTGTTAGGGAAATGAATCGAATCATTGAGCTAACTTAATTCTAATCAATTTTCTCACTCATTCTCACCTCTTGGAGTAATTTTTGGGTAAGACCGTAGAACTGTTATTTAGTTTTACAAATTCTCCACTCCGTTTGGTTCAAGGTTTAGGAGTTTGATAATGGGTTTCAAATTGCATTCCCATGTTTGGTAAGTGCACTCTTGGGAATGTAATTATGGACTCACGAGAATGAACTTCTCATGTAGTGCGGAATTTCATACTCTTGGCTCACCTTGGGAAACTTTTCCCCCCAACTTGGGAAAGCATTTAATGCAGCTCTTTTTGCAATAGCTTACCCATATTATTATTTTTAAATACCGCTTTTGATCCTTAAAAAACTCTTCATATTAATAACTTTTAATAATAAAAAATCAAGGGTATTGTTGGAAAACTGAACAACTTTTCATTCTTAATATTGCACTCACCAAACATGGGAATGTGATAAAATGTCATTTCATAGTCCTTATTTATTTCCTAGCGTTCCCAAACATGAGAACGAACATTCTCTATTCTCATCTCGTGAGATTATTAAACAAAGTTTATTCTCAAGAGTATTTTTCATTCTTAACCTTTTAAGAAGCTTGGGTTGGACTAAATTTAGTTTTACCTTATAAGTTGAAACCAAAAGAGAATTTGGTTTAACAAAACGAAGACTCGATGTGAAAATAAAAGCTAGACTTTTCACACAACTAAAATAAATAAATGAGGATGGTACGTACTTGAATTGAGGATATAGATTGTAGAAGAGGAAGAAGAGTCTTTTGTGCCTAAACCGACAGTATCAACATTCATCATCGAACTCAAAAAAGCACATGCATACAATACAACTACCACAAAAACAACAATAAATTCAAGGACGGCAAATTTGTTGAATTGCATTTACGCAGCTTTTATTTTGTCTATAAGAATTCAAATACCCAACTGCACTGATGTCGTGCCTAGCAACAACTCAAAAGACACCCTCCTTCCTTTTCAATTTTATCATACCAAATACAAATATCCTCCTCATCAAATTGAAACACAAAAGGTCCACCTGCACAAGAAGGCAGTTGGGAAGGTAGATAAACATGGTTAAAACTTAAAAGCAAGTATTGTTTGCTTGGGTTTGCTGCATCGTTTAGATAAGCCAACAACTCACATGACAAGAGAATGATATATAATTAAGTTCAAATCTTAGCTGGGAAGTTTTAAAAAGTATTTCGGCTTAACTATTCAAAAGTCTTCACCGAGAATCTGGCAATATAACATGTTAAGCTATCTAACAACAAAATATATGGAAATTAACAAACAACGTAACATCACATGTTTAGACTGAGAATATTATTGATTGATTCGACATAACGTTTGAATGTCTCGTTTTAATTCACAGTTTGACAATATAACATATCTACATGTATATTCATTGAAATTGAACATCAACATATGCTAATAACTAGTTTTGTTTAAGTAGAATTACATTTTAATGTGGCATATGTATTAGGCTTATTTACACCAATGCTCGCGAAACTACGGTCAAATCTCACTTTGTCCCTCCAAACTTAAAGTGACCCACTTTCCTCCCTTTGCCTCTTGACCAAGGTTTGGTGACCCACTTTGCTCCTGTCTTCAATTCCATCCAAAACTCTGTTAAATCTGATGACGTGGTAGGGGTAGTTTTGTAAGTTAGTACACGTGGATCATTATCCACCAATTAAGTAGGTGACATGGCAAGTGGAGCCTACCTCCACTTAGATAAAAACATAATTAAATATTCTAATATTTAAAAATAACTAAAATTTAAAATAAATCAGAAGAAAAAAAAATTCAAATAATTAAAATTCCTCCATCATCATCTCTACAGCACCAACAACAACATCCCTCCAGCTCATAAACCCACAAATTACCTTGCTGGAACGAGGATCAGAGAGATAGAAAACCCCAAAAAAAAACCTCAGTGGTTTCTAAATGATATCCTTGGGGCTCTAGTTTTTGTAGTATTAATTATCCAATTCTCTCTTTAGGTACAAGCTCGGCAGTTACTGGTATCTTTAGAGGAATTTTAATCAAGGATGATCGAGTTAGCTATTTTTTTGTCCACCCAAACGAATTTACATTCTTTCATCATGAGACTTTTTGGTGCTTGCTTTTGTCTAAAATTGGAAAGGAGGTATCCAACTTCAAACCATGATGAAGGTTTTTTAATTATTCGAATTTTTTTTATTTTTAAATTTCAGTTACTTTTAAAAATTAGAATATTGAATTATATTTTTATTTATGTGGAGGTGGACTCCACTTGCCACATCACCCACTCAATTGGTAGATAAAGATCCATATGTATGAAATTACAAAAAACCCCTGACAACGTCATCAAAGTTCACCGACTTTTAGATGTAGTTGACGGCATGGGTCAAAGTAGGTCACCATCGAGTAATTTTTGGGTGTTCCGGGTACACCACGTGGCTGGTGTACCATCCAATAGACGGATGACTTGTTGAATACGGTAGTCCTGAGCAGTAATCGATTGATCTTATATCAATTGTTTCCAAAATGATTACAGTAGTGTACCATCCAATAGACGGAGAACATATGGAATATTTCCAATACAGCCAGCCACATGTCATAAAAAGAAATGCAGTAAGTTGGAAAATAATTTCACATGTCCTCCGTCTATTGGATGGTACACCAGCCACGTGGTGTACCCGGAACATATAAAAATTTCTCGTCACGAAACTTTGGTCAAGCGGGAAAAGTGGGCCACTTTAAGTTTGGGGAGGCAAAGTGAAATTTGATCGTAGTTTCGGAGACATTAGTGTAAATAAGCCTATATATTACGTCTGTATACATATGCATAAGAAAAAGACAAACATTACCAGTCATGAACGAATGCAGCAACTGCATTCATGCAACCAAAAAAAAATTACAGCACGCAACTTTTCAGCAGTTTTTCCATGGACAATTGGAAGGAACTTTCAACTTATTTATGTACACATTTATATCTTTTTCCATAACGTGACTGATATGTTCAGTCCATAATACTAGAATGTTAAAACATATACGCAAAGCAAAACTAAAAGCTATTTTGATTTTATTTTACAAAAGTACACGAAGTACACGTAAACTAGAGCCACCTAGTGATATAGAAAAGACCTATTTATACAAACCACATCCATCCACAACACAACCCAAATCCAAAAGTTGAGAAATCTAGTTTCTAAGAAATGGAAGCCCTGTGCCATGGAGGAGGCATTGTCCAAGCCCTAAACACTCATGTGTACGGAAATGGCAGCCAGACTTTGGTTCTGGCTCATGGGTTTGGTTCAGACCAAACAGTTTGGCACTTCCTCATTCCCTTTCTTGCATGCTATTTCAAGGTTGTGGTTTTCGACTTGGTTTTCTCACCAAATGTTGATCCAAAACTCTATGACCCCGAAAGGTACGACTCAAATTTTGGTGCCTACGCAGAGGACTTGCTGTGCCTTCTTGATCGTCTTAATGTCAATAAGACTGTATATCTGGGACACTCCATGTCTGCTATGGTTGGATGCATCGCTTCTATTCAAAGACCACACCTGTTTCAGCACCTTATCCTGCTTGGTGGCTCTCCCAGGTCATGATGCATTTCTCTCTCTCTCTCTCTCTCTCTCTCTCTCTCTCTTCTCTCTCTCTCTCTCTCTTTCTAAATTTGGCATGGAACCCTGCTTGCCCTATCTCTGATAGTAGCAAATCCGCGCAAATCAGAGTCTGTGACATATATATATATATACACACATCATTGACTCATAAAAGGAGCCAAGTACTTCTTTGGAATAACTGACAATATGCAATCTTTGCCATTGACTTTTGGACAGTCAACTCATGTTTTACTATGATATAATTCACTTTTATATTTGTTTTTCTTTTCAATAATATGTGGTTAGTAAATGTGGTACATGTAGACAATATCAAAATTTGTCGTTCGCTCAATTTTGTGTTGATTTTGTTTGTAGATACCTCAACACAACAAGATACAATGGAGGCTTTACCAGAGCAGAACTCGATGCATTCTTCAACCAACTTGATCAGAATTTCTCAAATTGGGTTCTAAGTTTTGCTCCAATAGCAATAGGTGTAAAGGACACAAGTGCCATAGCCGAGTTCGAAAACAGTTTGGGAAGAATGGCACCCAAAATTGCAGTAAGTGTTGCTAGAACTGTGTTTCTAAGCGACCTCAGAAGAATTTTGCCACAAGTTGTGGTGCCGAGTAGCATAATCCAATCCAGGAAAGATTTTGTTGTTCCAAAAACCGTTGCGTTTTACATGAAGAAGAGGCTCGGTGGTCCTGCCAGAGTCAAGATACTAAATACAGAAGGCCATTTTCCCCAGTTGACAGTTTACCCTTTGCTCTTAAAAGTTCTGAAAAGATTTCTTCACATCACATAGACGCATGGTTGTGTTCTTAACTAATCATTGGGAGCATACTCTACAGAAAATTTTAAAAAAATAAAAGTAAAATTCCTTGCAAGTCACGTTTATTGCAAATTATTGCTTCCCTAAAATGTCATATTTTCTAGAATAATTTTCATTTTACTATAAAAATTTATCGACTTTCAACCACTTAATAATAAGATTATATAATGGAGTTAAATTTCTTTTTCTAATTAATTTATGATTCTTAAATTAATGTTTCAGAGTAAATTAATTATTAGGATGGAAGCTGCTCGCACTCCAAGTAGGTTGAAAAAGAGATATAATGTTCAATTAGATTGTTTAAAAAGGGTCTGATATCGAGAATTTTCATAATAGAGAGAATCTTACAATTCTCAAGGATACGAAATAGAGCAAAAGAGCACTACAATTTCACTAGAATATCTGTACTGAACCGAAGAATTCTATTAACTTACAATTCCCAAGAATACAAAAGAGAGCAAAACTCCACCCCCGGTGGAAAACCAATTTCACAGTTTCAGGGTAATAAATATAATAAGAACGCCAATCCTACGTAAATCTTACATTGTCGTCTGTTATTTCTGACAACGATCAAGGGTACCTTCTCCATCTTTACAATGGTACCCTTCTACATCCTTCCATATAGCCTCCTCAAAAAGCTGAAACAGCATTGCAAGTGTGGTGGTGGAGATAGTGGTGTCATGATGGCGATAAACTGACAATAACCTTGTTTCTCTTGTACAAGGTTGACAAATAATTTGGGTAGCAATCTGAATCAGGAAACTTGTCCCCTTCATGTGTGAGGAACAATTGATATCAAGCCACAGAATTCACATAATCCATTGCCTTCTGTTTCACATATTCTATCTTCTCTTCATCACCATGAGACTTCTCATACTGCAGATACTTATTGAATAAGAACTGCAAAACCATACATGAAGCACCAAAATAAGCTATAACAGAAAATACAAAGGGAAAACATTCTCAGTTAAAGGGGAATATGATTGTACACACTTTCATCTTTTTCGCTGGGAGGCTCAAACTAGTTGCCCGCTCAAATAGTGCATGTATCAGATCACTATCTCCAAGTCGAATTTCCTGCCACAGTTGATACAAAAGAGTAGGTAACTACTGTCTTGAATTTGAGACAGTAAAAGAAATAATACTGAAATGCTGGTAAAAGGAGATTTACTTGATCAAGATAGACGCTCCACAAGTCTGTTCTCTTTGGATTATTCCGCAAAATATTTTCAAACATGGATCGCCCTCTCTCTGGATTTCCACATTTAAACTCAAGGATGGCTGTCTGTGAATTGAATTTGATATGTTTATGCTTGGGAAGGACTTTTTCAGCCTGACTGACAACATCCTGAATCCCATCCCGCTGTTGTGTCAAGATCATCTGGACCCGCCTTAGCCAAACCTAAATTTCCATTAAATTTAGTGTTTATAAATTAACTGAGCATTTGAACATCTACACAATGCACACACGCAACTGGAGAGCACAAATATAGGAGATAATAATATACCTTGCAAGACTTCTTGAACTTCTTGATCATTTTATCAAATAGCTCATCAGCCAACCTGTGTTGCTCAGTCCTTTCATACACTCCTAAGAGTGCTAGATGAACCTTTTTGGGATCATTATACTGCACTGCTCTTTGGAAGACTTTCATTACAGCCTCCTGAAAAATGAAAAACAGATTAAAGGACTTCATATCAACATTAGAAAGACAAGGAGACCTTTTACTAGTTTTATTACCTCTGGAGGACTTCCATATTTGTTTTCCAAATTAAAATAAGCCACCCAAATATTGAGCTTCTCATTCTCTTCTCGGAAGTTTATTGTTCGCAAAGCCCTTGACAGAAAAAGAGAGCTACATTTAGTCGAAATTATGTAAATAAGGGTTATCCTAGTATAACATGCATGTCTGCAGGCACACACATGAGAGAACTGGAAAAAGCTATAAGCACCATAAATCAACCAGGACTTCTCGGTTCAGCATAAGTGTCTATGGAACTCCAAACAGAAACCATATTCTTACAATAATTCAAATCATAACCTTCAAGTTCCTCAAAATTTTAGTCCAATTAAATCAATTGTTCCTCTTAAGCACAGCTCCTATGAAGCTCTTAACCCTCTTGTTCCCTACCCTAAAACAAGTTTTGAAACCCTATACCTCACTACCAAACATATATTATAATGGAAATCTGTACAACATTTCTAGAGAGAGAGACTCAGGTCAAGTAGCATTATATGTTTAAACGATTATATGCCAGCAGCATATCATTGTCATACTAGCAAATTAGCAACAAGTATTTCTGCTAAGGAGTACCTTTCAGCAATAGAGCGTGCCTTCTCAACATTAGCCGTAGAGAGAACAAATTCCATATACTTTATCCATACATAACTGCTATTTGGAGAGCTTCTAACTAGTTTCTCATACTCCTCATCAGTTCTTGGTATATCTTTCTCCAACAGTCTTTCCTCGGCAGCCCTTATCTCACGCTCCCTGCACAAAATTGTTTCCAAATTAAAAACGAAAGGGTAAGAGGGTGAGTTGATAACCTTAGACAACGAAACAAGAGCCAAAGACAAATAAGTACAAAACTAACCTTTCTTCCTTAGCTTTTTTTTTTGTAAGCTGCTTTTTCTTTTCATTTACAGTGTCCACATCGGGATGTTCTTGATCTTGACTAACAATATTATCACCGTTGAATTGGTCTATGTCATCAAAAGTGACTTCAAGAGGAGGAACAGAAGCCCTTGATTCTGCTTGTGCAAGAAACTGGGGCTCTGCATTTTCATATTCAACATTCATGTTCTGGTGGGTACAAAACGAACTGCTTCCAGGAAACATTGCAGATAAACTACCATCCGTTATGCCATTTTCTACAATGTCTTCATCAGGATCTTGTTCTGAAGACGTTTGAAGGTCATTTTTTTCCATGATATATACATCCTTCATCCCGAGAGAAAGTCGGTGCCTCTCTTTGTCCACCTGATAAATAAAGTCGAATAATTAACACGACAATTGTCATGAATGCATAACACAGCCCAAAAATTACCACATTGAAATTATTGAAATGAAATATGATAACATGATGAACAATGGAAACTCCTATAAAGGAAACCGACTATTTTAAAATGGCTGCATTGTGACCATCAGTATATCTTTTTATGGGAAACAGTACCTTTTTATTTTATTTAAGGAAATGTGTAAACAGCACAAACAGAATGAACCAGATATTCTCATCAAGTTCTGTGTTATGCAGTTAAACAGATCCCACAAATTGCAAAAAAATAAAATGCCACAGTAGTTGGGTTTTAGTGGCTAACTATTCATTTCCAACCTATTCTACTATTGAAACATCAAGAACCCCAAGAGGATGCAAGAGTGAGGAATATGCTCCAACCATAACAGACAATAAAGATACCTTCAATACTTTTGCTGTCACCCTCTCTCCTGTTCTGTACTTAGTTTCAATATTCTCTGCTTTATCTTCTGAAAGCTCTGACACATGGCATAGTCCAACCTAAGCACAAAAGCAAAATACTTGAAATCATTTCAGCAAAAACTGATTCATGAATTATTAAAGCATTCCCACATGTATAACAAAACAGATGCATTTCTTAGTTGAAGATCAGAGAATTTTTTTTAAAAAAATTGCCAGAGTGTATGTTTCTTGTCAAAGGAATATTAAATGCTTAACCAGGAAATGGAATTATATCCAAAATTGCAAATTTATCAAGAAGGAAAAACTTTGGGCAATTGTTGTCAAACACACACACACATATACATAGAAAGAAAACATTAATTTTGCTTGATATTACTCATCCTTTACCACGTTTGTGTTGTCAATCGTGATGAATAAACCATATCGCTCCACCCGTTTTACCCTGCCAGAGATAATATCTCCAATGTGCAAGCTATCCAAATTATTACTTCCAGATTGTGTCACACTGGCACTCAATGACTTCAATGTCACTTCAACTCGCTTCGATAGTGGCTCTACAGATGACACCCTGCACTTAAGCTCCTTAGTAATAGTACAGCATTACATTAATTTTCTACCAACAAGTAAAACTTTTTTAGCACAGCCTGCAAATTTTTTATAAAAAAAAGTAAAATAGAAAAAACTCCTTACCTGCCAATTACAAGTTTTCCAACTGGGAACTCTTTTTCAAGATCTTGAACATATCCATCAGATAAATTGGAGACAAGAATTTTGGCATCAAGCTTCCGGGAAAGAAAAATAAAACACCCTTTTGGAGTAATATTTTTCACATAACCCTATCAGATCCAGAAATAATCACGACCAACGTAAGACACTGCATTATCCCAGATCAGAAAGTACATAGAATAAAAATAAAAAATCAAGTGAAGCTTTGGGAGAGAATAAATTCTACAACACCTGAACCGCCATATTAGGATTAAGATCTTCGATCTTTTCCACGCGTTTGGTATGAGTATGCCTGAAGAGAAAAAATGTCAGTCTTTAGTAGCAAAACAGAGAAAACAAGAACCAAAGCAAGAAACAAACAGTGAAAACCAAAGAATAACAATTTAGATTGTAAGATTTTAGACAGCGACTATGCAAGAGTAAAAGCAAAATTTGTTCAGCATATCAAAAGGAAAAATGTTATTCACACCCCCAGTTTGTCATTCTGCACTCTTTTTGTTCATGTTATAAAATAATAAAATATTGATTATGGAGTGCAGGATGACAAATTGAAGTGTGAATATCAGCTGTCAATCAAAAACTAATACAATAAGCGATCTTTTTAGTGACTTATCATGTAATGACTGATACTTTATTCAAAGCAACAGAAGTCCAGCAGAATGCTAATATGTTTCAAACAACACCATCTGCGCGCTAGTGTTTATATACACACGCACACCCTATACATAAGTGCATTACATCATTAACATGTATGTATCCCACATCAAGAGAATGTATGCAAACAAATTCTAGACTGCAAGCATACAAAAAAGAAGTTCAAAAATAAATATTTTGGAAAATTGCACTGAATTATATATGCAACTATTAACAAGAGAGAAACAAAAGATGTAATAAAAGTTCT